TGACTTTATATTTAAATGAATCTATCATTTAATGCCACGTAATTGTCACATAGACTAGAGGTCAACCCCTGTGGGTATAAATAGAGTTACTCTTAAAAATAGCACTGAGAATTATAACTACTACAAGCCTTTCAAAATCACCAAAATAGTTAACCTTCCATTCGCACAATGCTCAGTGTTTTCTAAGGATAGACAAATAAGACACCAACTCCTTTCCAAATTACACCAACTCATCAAGCTCAACTTTCAAGTTTTATTACCTACACATTCTTTCTTGGTCTACCCCTCTTTTTAGCTCCCGTTGAAGCCACCGGCACTGGTGTTGTCAGCGTCACATTGGGCGGCATGGGTGTACCACCATCCACCTGTACACAGCCCGACCCAAACATGGGTGGCATCCAATTGGGATACCCATTACCACCCCGCCTCTTTCTACCTTCAGAATTCCCCACTGCAAACCCCATTGGGAAGAATCCCCAACAGCAATAATAGGCCTCTTTTCCTGGCACCATAGGCGGCATCGACAAAATCTCAGCTCCAGTAAATGCCCTCTTACAATTCTGGCACCTGAAACAACACCCATCATATAATCTGGGATACTCGTATAAATTATAACAGTACGGACATGCCGTCCAATAAGTACCCGACCCATTGCTTCCCAAACCACCACCATTATCAGCATTACTACTATTGACGCCTTTTCTGTTGTTCGATCTCGTTCCACCACCACTTCCACCGTCACCCCTTGTGCTCCGTCTGACAGACAATTTCTGATGAAAATTCCCTTCATCCGGTTTCTTTTGCTGATGAAATTGCTGCCCATGTGGCTGCTGAGTGGGTTGTTTCTTCATAGCCACCAAATCGACCTTCGTGAAAGGGGAGAACTCATTGTCGTACAAGGGTTTCTTGCCGGGATCAGAGAGAACGGCCCACGCATCAGCCACGAGCCCAAAAGCCGACTCGGAGAAGGCAAACCGGTTTTTGTCCGGGTGGAGGAGGAGGGCGAGCCGCCGGTACTGCTTCTTGATAAGCTCGGCATCTTCAGTGCGGTGAGGGACTTGGAGAATGGAGTACCAGTCATGGTGGTTGTTGACCAGTCTGTCGGCGGCTAAGAGGACATCGGCTACGGCTAAGATCTGTTCGGGTCCTTCCAAAAGCGGCTCGGTTTCCTGGGCTAAAATAGCGAAGTCTTTGGAGCCGCTGAGGTCTTTGCTCCGGAGCAGCTTTTCGGAGATTCCGAGGAGGCGTTCGGCTTCGGCTCGGGTGGTGGTGGTGTGATGTTCCATTTTTGTGTCTGAATTTGGTTTATGAGAAAACGACGGGATACTTTATCGGGCTGGGTTCCTATAAAAGAGTAAGACCATGTTTGCTACGCTTGAAAGTTCTTTTTTAAAAGTATAGGCATGATTTTATACCATTTCCAACCCTACACCAAAATTTGAAATAAATTTTGTACCATTTTAGATCAAATCATGAACCAAACTAAAAATTATCTCAAACCATTACACCAAATGAACAATGTTTAATTATTTTTTTTCTCTTTTTGTATTCTTAATAATTTATTTATTTGAAAAATTATTTCTTTATATATTTTATAAATACATAAATTTCTTGTTCTTTATATTTTAATTTTATTTTTTTACAATTTTAATTAATTCATTAATTATTGTTTTTTACATTATTAAAATTTATTTTAAAT